TTGATTCACTCAGACTCATGGTGTTGACTACATTGACACATTCTTTCCAGGTTGTCCGCATGAACTTTATTTGAGTTCTTTTATCTCTAGTAGTCAATCTTGATTGATCTTTATATTAGTTGGACGTCTCTAATACTTTTGTATATGGTGATTTGACGAGACAAGTCTTTATGGTACAACCTCCAAGGTATGTTGCTCAGGTAGAGACTTTCTAGGTTTACTTTTTTCACCATGTTATCAATAAGCTCAAATAGAGTTATTGTGCCTAGTTTGTTTAGTTCAGTGATATTTTCACATCTTGTGAATTTACCCCATTTAAGATTAATCTAACAATGATGCGCAAGACTACATCTATAGCCTTTGTAGTGCTTGCTATATATGTGGATGACATTTTCTTGATCGATAGTGATGAAGTTGGTATCTCTACTACGAAAATTTATCTTCAAATGTACTTTGTAATATGCAACTTGTAGACATCATATTATTTCATTGGGATTGAGTTTGCTTACCAATCAAGTAAATTAACACTATCTCAGAGAAAGTATGTCTTGGATCTTTTCTAAGAGATAGGGTTGGGTGTAAACCAACTATATCACCTTTTGAAGCATGACTCAAGTTTTGAAACACTATCTCACCTATGATAGTGGATGCCAACTACTATTGGTATCTACTAGAAAAATTGATATATTTGGTAGTTACTCTCCCTAATATTACCTATGTTGTCAGTATTCTTAGTCAATTTATGTTGAAACCTTGGATGGTGCATTGGGAGTGGACATTATGGGTTCTTGCATACATCAAGCGTGACCCTAGTAAATGTCTTATCTATTGATGTCATGACCATCTTCGTATTGAAGCTTATTCTGATGCTAGATATGCTAGGGATAAAGGAAATCAAAAATTAACTATAGGATATTGCACATATGTTGGAGGTAATTTGGAGACCTAACATTCCCAAAAGTAAAAGTTGTTCTAGTGCGAAAGCTGAGTACCAAGACATAGTTACTACTGCTCGTGAGATGATATGATTGTAGTTTTTTTTACAAGATTTGGGTATCACGACTCCAACGCATATATCGATGTATTGTTATGTTACTCAAAGAAAAATGATTAGATGCATTATATTAATTACTATCAAATGTTAATAAAATTAAATGGAAACTATTAAATATATTTTAGAATATGTTTCATAGATTCTTGCTTAAACATGTAGATTAGACATGAAGGGATGTTGAGAGGACCAAGCATAGATATATTTCACAATATTTCATGAGAGGACCAAGCATATTGAGATCAATTGTTAGTTTATCTATGACAAAGTGTTGATGGAAGTTATTTCAATACCACATATATTATCATCGGATTAGCTGACATCTTCACCAAAAGTCTAATCAGTGTGTCATATGATTGCCTAAGATCCAAGTTAGACATGTTCAATCTATATGCTCCAACATGAGAGAGCGTATTAAATATAACCCATTAGAGGGCTTAATACACCGGAGCCCATTAGAGGGCTTAGTGCATGTCTCTCTTTCTCCCTCTCTCGCTATAAATAGAGGCTTGTAATATCTTCTTTAATTAGTACAACTAGATAGCTTTACCATTCACAAAAGGTAATTGAAATATTCTCTCATCTGAATTTTAAGATTAATCTTCTCTTAAATCTTCTCTTTGGGGTTCAATCTAAGTCTAATTTTTAGTCAGTTAGATTTTCTAAAGATTAAGATAACCCCATTTTGGATAGTCTCTATCCTCTTCTTGGTTCCACATCAAATTTTCAACAGAAGGAAGATGATAGCATTTGCTGCATAACTCTTCCAAATTCTTCTCAATGCGATTGATGTAATTATCATTTTCTCTTTTTGGAGCTATAGAAGGTGAGTGTGCATTATATATACCAGAATGGTAGAAATCCAATTTTAGAACAGTGCATTATATGAAGCCTAATTTGTTATGTTACTCAAAGAAAAATGATTTGCATTATATTAATTACTATCAAATGTTAATAAAATTAAATGGAAACTATTAAATATATTTAAGAATATGTTTCATAGATTCTTGCTTAAACATGCAGATTATTCTTGAGAAAATTTTAATTCATGTTCTAACTTATATTTTAGCGAGATTTTTCAAAGTTCATATCGTTGAGAAATATTTTTTAATTGACATTTTAAGTGAGAAAGGGAGATAGAGAGAAAGGGGGTGGGGACCCTGATGGAGGCTAGACCTTGATGGAGATTTTGGGCATGAAGTGATAGCGATGGCACTCCTCCCTCTCTGTGACATGTAGAGGTAGTGGTGGCAGCACAGCGGCGGCGGTGATGGCAACGGTAATGGCAGGCCTCCCTTGGGTGACAAACAGAGGTGAGCACAGTCCTGACACAGTGATGACAATGGCGGCATGACAACGACAGCGACATCCAAGATGGGCTGAGCACGGCGGCATCCGCGGCGGGCTGAGCACGGCAATGTCCATAAATCATGTCTACGACGGCAGGGCGTTCTCACCTCCAACAATTAAGCTCTGTCAGGGCGACAGGCAGAGCTTAAATGTCCATAAGATAGTAGTGGAATAGGGGAACCCACGAACAAGTTTTTCATCTTCTGTCTCAATTCATCTTTCATTTTTGTTGATTTTACTAATGAACAGATGAGATTGTTTATCTAGTCAATTACCTTCTTAGTCAATTGATTTGCTTGAATTTTATTTCAACAGCTTTATTTTTGTCCCTGGGTGACAGATAAAGACAATTTCGATTTTGGTCGTATTTTAATTTCTTCTTTTACAGAAGTGATGTGTATGACTTTGAGCCCAAATTTTAATGTTTCTTTATCTGTACATATTGTGTAGTCCCTCCCTTCCTCTTCTTCTCCCCTTCGTTTAGTATCTCGTTGTTGTCTTCCTGGATGCGGAGGCATGAAAATACAACTAGGGATAAGATAGGATAAATCTTCGATAGTTTCTTTCTTACTTTCTTCAATTCTATAAGTATGTGAGACAATGATTTAATACTGAAGTTGGTAGTCATCCTTGAGCATCAATCTGAACCACCAGAAATTTAAAGGTTATTTCTCATATTTGAGTTGGATATAAACGTAAATTTGACATATTTTTATTTGACGACTAAAAGATCATCAACAATATCCCCGTGATAAGCTATTGTAGTTGATGACATAATGACACGATATAGGATAAACACGCTGAACACAGACCTCTCTTAAGGAAGAAAAGAGATGGAGCTTGTACAATAACTCAACTCCGAAAGAGAGAGAGAGAGAGAGATAACATTGGCCCTTAGAGTGGCCAATCACCCTGATAACTCTTCTTCCTTCCTCCCCTCTAACTCGTGGATAGTGGTTAAATATCGTCTAAGGAAAAATGCGAAGGATGCCCATGTTCACTTGCGTTGACCCATCATTATTCATGCGGTGAGGGAGGTCAAGGTCTTGGTGGGTGGTCCGACAATAAATGTCGGAGATACTCCAATAGTGAGGTATGTTTCCTTTGGAGGAATTCACTGGAGACCCACTAGAAGGTTACCAATGGAGGAAGTTGGAAGGAAGGGATATTTTCCTAACCGAAATGGGTGAAGACATAGAAGGATAGTAGAAGAGGGGGATATGGGAAGAAAGTAGGTCAGGAGGGGAGAGTAATAGAGCGAATGATGTCAGAGGAGGACGGGATAAATAAACGGGAACAAGGTGAGGAGGGGATCTTATTATAGGAAGATGGGCAACAATGGATCATAAAAGTCGTAGAATGAGAGAGAGAGAGGTTAATGCATGTGGACAACCCACATGAAGAAGATCATAGCACCCCGGTCGGCACTACCTTAGCTTTGGTTTCTTGGACTCCAAATAAACTCTTCCTATCATTTGTTATCAGTATGATGTCACTGTTGACTATGGACGTATAAATGGATCAATGACTTGGACCTGTGTTAAATCCCAAGGGGAACTCATATCATATCCTTAGCTTTCGTGCATGGTGTCTCGCTAATTTTACCTTTTAAATTACATGATTCAAAATTACATTGTAAAACTTGAATTTTTATATTTCACATCATCTTCATGCTATGGCTCTTTAGGAGATCCATATGGGTAGGTAACTAATCCTTAATTCAACATTCTCATTTTATTTTAGTTTTTTGATTTAGTCAATATATGAGGTGTTACATGGTGACTTTATTTTTTTGAAGTTTTGTTATGATCTCATACCAGCTCGCGTAATCCAAGGTGTTCATGAAGCTGAGATAAAATTGTAAGAGAAAATATGCAAGCATATAATCTAACTAATAACGGAAACTCAATTTCTAGATATCAATGAGAACAAATAGAAAAGATATCACCAAGCTATCAGAAATTCTGATGAGAATAAAACTTCTACTAAGCACTTCTAATCCACACCTCAATGCCTTTGAGATAACTCACACTCAAGAGTTAACAATAAATTCTTCTCTCCTTTTATAAGGACTTCTACTATAATAGAAGAAAAAGAAGATACCAAGAGAAGGAATAAAGTTGATGGAAAGAGAATAGATTTAAAAGAGAAATAGTCGAAATGGAGAGAATAGATTCTTTGAAGTATCTTGATCTACGTACAATTGCAGCCACATGGTATGTGGGAGAGCTTCTCTCGCACTTCTCTAGAATGCATCAGCTGTGATGGACTGACACCGTCAACAAAACCCAAAGTTTGTTCGCTCAACTTTATTAGTTATGGTATGTCTCCTTATTTCAAGATTGTGGCTGACCCATTTTTGCTTACTGAAAACTTATGAAGAAGATCAGGCTTTTATTTTGGGCTTATTTTCCGAGGAGATCAGGCTCGTGCCAGTGCACGACGCTACACATGGCGTGGAGGGGCCGGGGGTGGAACGCGGCGGCGAGGTAGATGTAGATGTGGAGACGGTGGTGCACGCAATGGTCTGTGAAGTCCTCCAGCTGGCGGCGGTATCCGCGGTGGATGCGAATACATCTTGTCGGATCGCCACCAATCCATGGGCCAAAACTCGGCTACTTCCCTCCTCGACCTGGCCTCCACCAGCGCTGAGTGCGCCTTCTCATGCGTCGCGTGCTCGGGCCAGGCTGTGTAGACCGATGCCACCGGAGAAGCCCGAACGATGCAGAGGAGAGCGAGGAGGATGACAGCGTCGCGCCGCACTGCCGCCAGATCCATGGTGGAGGGGGGGATAGCTGGACAGTACGAAGGTAGTGAAGAAAGTTGAACGGAGACGAGGAAGCAGGACCGAAGCAGACGGAAGAAGGAGAAGAGGACGCAGGAGGATAATCCGACGATAGATTATCCGGACGCGGTCGAAGAAGAGAGAGGGAGAGGGAGAATAATATGCCGGGAGTTATTCTCCTCTCCCCCTATTTAAAGAGGCCGACTTTATCCTCGTGAGAGAAGGGGAAAAGTCGAAAAGAAAGGGAGGGAAGCTTGAAACGAGAGAGGTCCCGTCGGAGGAGTAAGGGGGGTTCTCGAGGAGTAGTCTGGTGTACTGGTGGTGCTGGTGTATCGGCGGAACACAGTCTCGGAGTCGGCTGAGAGCCTAGGAAGAAGAGAGCTGTCGTGTCAAGCTCCTTCTCCCCTTTCTTCTTCCCCCCTTGTAAGCTTCTGAGTTCAGTGGAACCTTTCTCCCGTGCATTATCGCCGTAGGGACAGTGGGAGCTCCCGTAGGTGACGTAAAGCTGCCCGGCGTTGACTAGGCAACGGTTGGTGGCGGTCTTGGGTGACGAAGCAGGCGGGTCGGGTTTATCACCCGTGACAGTTGGGTACTGTGGCCGGCGGCCCTATTGCGGGTGTTTGTCCTGCGGAGCCCGGGCCCCAGCCGCGGCTCCTGGTCCCGTCCATGCCAACGCCAACTCCGCCTGCTCGTAAGTCACCGACCTCCCGGCGGAGCCAGGAGGACGTGAAGGAGGAGGAGGACGGCAGCCGAACGCACCTTTAGTTCCAGATCCATGCAACCATGAGAGGTTCAGCTGGATGAGACGGGAAGGGATGTTCCGTCAACGAGTAAGTGCACAATGAGATAAAGGTTATCAGTGAAGGAAGTTGGAAGGACGAGATATCTTCCTAGCCGAAATGGGTAAAGCAATAAAAGGATAGTTGGAGAGGTGGAAATGGGGAGAAATCAGGTCAGGAGGGGAGAGGAAGAGAGAGGATGATATCGAGGGAGAAGTAGGGGATGAGGCCGCCGGGAAGAGGCGGGGGAGGGGATCTTATGGTTGGAAGAGGGGGAGCGGTGGACATATAAAAGCCGTAGAATGAGAAAGTGAGATAGAAAGAGAGAGAGAGAGAGAGAGAGAGAGAGAGAGAGATTAATGAAGGTAGACCATTCACGTACGAAAAAGATTGACAATATGGTTCCCATCGGACTGGGGCTGACACCCGAGGCTGAAACCCCCACAGAAGTCTAACGGATTAGGTTACGAAAGCTTCCCAGAATATGTAGTCTGCCCTGAAGATGCTTTTATTGTTTTTTAACTAAGATAGTAAATTAAAAATAGTTATTGATAATAACATAGCGCCTAGCTGTGCACTACCCCAGTTGCGGTTTCTCAAAGTCCACGTCAACACCCTACCATTTGCTATCAGTATGACATCATATCTGACTACAGATGTACAAATGGATCAACGACTTGGACCAGTGTTAAAATCCAAGGGGAACTTGACCAAGTGCGCTTTGGTGCACGTCATCTTTCTAATTTTACCTTTTAAATAAGAAGATTACCAACTACATTGTAAACTTTGATTTTTACAATTCACATTTTCCTCATGCTATATACATGGCTCTTTTGGAGGTTCATAACAATAGGTAACTAAGACTTACTATAAAGTATCATTTTTTATTTTTTGTTTTTTATTTTTATTTTCTGAATTATCGCGTCACATGGTGATGTTGACTAATTTGAAGTTTTGTTAATATCTCAAACCTACTCGCGCAATCAAAGGTGGTGATGAAGCTCGGATTAAATCAAGTTCACACATCATGTTAGATCCCTATTCGGCCTATTATTTGATCTCCTACTCGGCCTACTATCTTTCAGGCCTTATTAGCCTTACTTTTTATAACTCTATCATATTATTTTTAGGCGTGTCCTGTGTAGCCCTTTTTTCTCTTCTCCACCGCACTTCTTCTTTCCTCCTCTCTTGAAGTTAACAAAATATCATAACCATTGGGGCACCAGATTATTTGTTATTTCAAATCAGATCAGGCCTTGCTTCACAATAGGGCCCAGGCATCATCTCACTTGCATCGAGATCATCTCTCTCACTTCCTGATCAAGGCTCATGCATCATGCGTCATCTGTCATCTGTACATCTTCTCTCTATCGGTGAGAAAAGTGTCAACTATTGTTGATTATTGGATTCAGACCAAGTCTGCCCAGAGAGATCAAAGAAACTTGTTAGCCACAACATTTCCAGCATCTTTATGGGATTCAGGTTGAATCTAACAAATTATTTGTATTAGAGCTATGACATGAATCACATTTTGAGACAAAAAAAAAATGTGAAAGTATATAGATTGTACATCTGATATACCTCAGCTAAAAGATAAATTTGATTCTTCTACTAGAGTTGGATATGAACAGGAGTTAGAAGAATGATATGTGAATAATTTCAAGATTCTAACTTGGATCAACAACTCAGTTGAAAAAAATATTGATTTACAATTAACAAAGTTTTCTACTGCTAAATTGCTGGGGACTATCTGGCCTCTCTTCATATACAATCAAATTTTGTGAGATAATATAAACTCAAAGGTGATTAAATCTGCTCATCAAGAATCTCAATCTTTTAAAGATTTTTATTCTCATTTCACTGCGATATGGAACCAACTTGCTTTTATAGTACCACAATTTATTCAAAGCAACACAGATTTTATAGAATATCATTAAAAGAAGAAGTTGACACAATTTTTGATGGCTCTTTGAGAAGAGGCCATTTATTCAAACCACATAAAATCCTTGTGTCATTTTGGTAATGAGTTTTTCATTTCTTGTTTCCTTCACAGCTTCCACAAGTGCATAGTGAACATTTAACTCTAACAAGCTCGAGGTGACTACAGTGGCCCCAGAGGTGGAGGCGGTGGTTCACCTAAATTAGATACGCCAGACTTTCTTTTAAGTGGCGGCGGTGTCCGCGGCGGCCGCGGTGGCGGCAATGGCCGCAGTGGACGTCCACGCTTGTTGTCGGACCGCCACTGGTCCAGGCACCAAAACTTGGCTCCTTCCCTCCACAACCTGGCCTCCACCAGCGCTGAGTGCACCTTCTCATGCGTCGCGTGCTCGGGCCAGGGTAAGTTTTAGTTACCTACTGATTTGGACCTCCAAAAGAGCCATATATATATAATGAAAAAAATGTGAAGTTTAGAAAGTAAAGTTTATACTGTAATTTGTAATCTTCTTAGTTAAAAGGTAAAATTCGCAAGATGCCGTGCACCAAATCGCAATTCGTCAAGTTGCCCTTGGGGTTTAACACAGGTCAAAGTCGTTGACGCATTTGTACATCTGTAATCAGATATGATGTCATACTGATAGCAAATGGTAGGGTGTTGACTTGGACTTTGAGAAACCACAACAGGGGTAGTGCACAGCGAGGCGCTATGTTTGTTAAAAAACTATTTCTAATTTACTATCTTTGTTATTATAGCGAGGCGCTATAATATCAACAACTATTTCTAATTTACTATCTTTGTTAAAAAATAATAAAAGCATCTTCAGGGCAGACTACATATTCTGGGAAGCTTTCGGAACCTAATCCGTTAGACTTCTGGCCCCGGTCCAATGGGAACCATGTTGTCAACCATTTTCATGCGTGAATGGTCTACCTTCATTAATCCCTCTCTCTCTCTCTCTCTCTCTCTCTCTCTCTCTCTCATTCTACGACTTTTATGTCCGCCGCTGCCCCTCTTCTGAATAAAAGATCCCATCCCCCTCCTCTTCCCGGCGGCTTTATCCCCTCCTTCTCTCTCGATATCACCCTATCTCGCCTCTCCCCTCCTGACCTGATTTCTCCCCATTTCCACATATCCAACTATCTTTTTATTGCTTTACCCATTTCGGCTAGGAAGATATCTCGTCCTTCCAACTTCCTCCGATAACTTTCATCAGGTCGTGCACTTACTCGTCGAAGGAACTCCCGTTCCCCGTCTCATCCAGCTGAACCTCTCCTGGTTGCATGGATCTAGAAGTAAAGGTGCGTTCGGCTGCCATCCTCCTCTTCCTCCTGGCTCCGCTGGGAGGTCGGGATTTCACCGCATGGGCCAAACCGGTGACTTAAGAGCAGGCGGAGTTGGCGCCGGCATGGACGGGGCTAGGAGCCGCGCCTGGGGCTCCGGCTCTGCAGTACAAACAACCCGCAATACGGCCACCGGCCCCAGCACCCAACTGTCACAGGTGATAAATCCGACCCGCCTGCTTCGTCACCCTAGACCGTTGCCCAGTCAACGCCGGGCAGCCTTACGTCACCTGCGGAAGCTCCCACCGACCCAACGGCGATAAGGCATGGGAGAAAGGTTCCACTGAACTCAGCAGCTGACAAGGGGGGAAGAAGAAAGGGGAGGAGCTTGACACGACATCTCTCTTCTCCCTAGGCTCTCAGTCAACTCTGAGACGGTGTTCTGCCAATACACCAGCGCCACTAGTACACCCGACTCCTCAAGAGCTCCCCCACTTCTCCGACGAGACCTCTCTCATTTTCAAGCATCCCTCCTTTTTGTCCTCGACTTTTCCCCTCCTCTCTCAAGGATAAACGCGGCCTTCTTTAAATGGGGGGGAGGGGAATAACTTCCGCCGTATTATTCTCCCTCTCCGCCTCCCTCTCCCTCTCCCTCTCCGTCTCTCTTCTTCGGCCGCGTCCGGATAATCTGTCGTCGGATTATCCTCCTGCGTCCTCTTCTCCTTAGACGGGTTCTTCACCGAGTCTTCTGCTTGGGGTCTCTCATAGATCCGGATGGTTCGTTCCAGATCCAGGAGGCTCAGTCCACCGAGTCTTCGTCATACTGCGTCCTCCGTGCGGCCCACGCGTGAGCCACACGAGTGAGATGCCTGCCTTCGATTGCGTCCATCTCTCTCCCGATTCAACCCCGTCGAGTGGTTCCGAGGGTGTCACATTCTCCCCCACGTGACATCCTTCGATATTATCCTCTCTTCTGCACCCTCCTCCTGACCATGTTTCTCCCCAATTGCCCCCTCTCCTACTGTCTTCTTACTTCTTTTCCCA